GTAATCCGTAACGCAGTTAGGTCTCGGGTCATTGATCCTGTCGACGGTTGAGAATTTAGCTCCAACGGAGTACGTCATGTCGTACCTAAAAAACTCACGTCTCCCACTGAACAAGCCTCCCTAAAATTTTTCGCTGAATGAGATGATTTTTTATCGTGAATTTTACTACTCACCATCCAGTCGAGGCATTACCTTCAACATTGCGCCAATTGATGGCGAGTCCGTCAAGAGTGTAGCCCGTTTCTTCAGGTCCAATCTATAATGAGCCGATGGGTATAATCAACTGATCAGATGCCCCTATTCTTCCTGAATCTCTTTCAATAATAGTTTTAATAGGTCATTTTATCGGAAATGAATTGGAAGCAAGTACTTCTTCTAGTGGGTCATTTCTTGTAGGTGGAAACATTGAACTCAATGAATTAGGCCTCCTTACTTAACCTTATTCCTGGTTAAATTCATCAGAACTCATTAATTGAAAAACTAAGTTACTAGGCCATCCATTTGTTCAGAAAAAGAGTTCTTAAGAAAGTTTGAATTTCTTTTTAATGGCTAGACTTCATAGCCTTCCTGAAGTTTTGTTTTTGTGGCTTACATATCACCTTTCCCTCCAAGCTCATGTGTCCATCAACTCCGTAAAAGTTAAAATTACTAAGTTAGATCTATGTTAGAAGAAAACTGGACGAAGGCGACCAAAGAAAAACCTGGAACTCGAAATAGTGATTCCACCAGTATCCATCGGGATTTTTCGCGTTAGGTGTTCTGTCTCCCCTCATCTCCACTCTCAAAGTAACATTGCGGTCCTTCGCAGTTAGCTGATGGAGAAGTTCGTTACCCATCCAAAAGTTAGTGTTCTAAAGCATAGATTGCTTGTTTCAAACAAAAGCTCCGATAGTTTTGTAGCTCACTTCGACTCACCGGCCCCATTTTTCCGAATCCTTTTCTGTACTCGGTCCAGTTGTGGTCCCAGAACGAATCGCTGCTGTCTACCCTTCTGCAATTCGAATTTCAACAGAGGTCCGCATATGAAGGAAAAGGTATGAGGAGCTGAATTTCGAAATAAAGATTTAAGTGAAATTTTAGTAAGGGAAGATTTGATAAAGGTGAATCAAGTTTGAGATGACCTGTAAAATTAAGTACCCAGTATAGCTCCGGGTCAGCGTGCGATACAAAAATTGCCGTGTTAAATTACAACGAGTGGAGCTCCCTGAGCTACTTCGCAATGCCACCATATCATTTAGCGAGGGAAAGAAACGAAAACGGGAAGTCGAAGTCAACTTGGAAGTGAAGAATCCGTAAAATGCACTCCCTCATTCAAGAGCAAGCCTGAATACTTGTTGAGTGCTGGTTATCAGAGAACTGACTTATTATCTGTTCTTCGTTATTAGGTTTTTTTTAAAAGTGCGTATTATGTTCAAACCTCTGAAACATGACCCATCCTCCTCCAGCAGTATGCATGTCACAGTAGACTTTGTAGAACTTGCCTTTGACAACGATGTTGTACACACCATCTCTAGAAAGTGATATTATTCCTAGAGTGAGGACCGTGGTTATGGATATGTGTGGCTTCTGCCCTAAAATTTACTCTGTATAGCCAGCACTATACCAGTCAGCACAGTCGCTCATTGCAACACGTGTTTCGCAGACGAAGCAATTTTCCTCATTGCAGTCTGCGACACTCCATCTACCTGTAATACTTGGCATCAAAAGTGTTCCCTCGCAACCCTCCAATTTCTCAGACAATTCGAAGAATAGTGGTGTAGTTCCCACCTTCCTCGAACGACGAAACTATACACTGGTCATGGGAATAGGATTTTCCTAAAGAAAGTGGATTTCTTATAAACAAAACATGCAATGAAGGATCTAATCAAACAACAAAAATACCCACCTTCTCCAAAGTTTTCGAAGTCAAACGATGAGCCATCTACCCATGAGCAGTTGCCGTTCCTACACTGCCCACCCGTCCAATAGTGCATGCATTTGTTAGGGTCTCCAAGCGCTTAACAGAACATCTGTTTTTCTGTTTTTTTCTGCTGTTTTTTTGTAAAAACAGTTTGTTATATTCTGTGGAGCTATATTCAGTAGAGGGTGCTGTACATTCTGATCATTTCCTAATCAGTTAGTCCTTACATCTAGAACCTTTTCGCAGAATCTTTCTTCTGTTAGAACTAATCGATCGATTTATTTGGTGTTGCGCAGCTGAAACTCTGTGCTGCGTTTTTGATGAACTATCCTTCTTTCCTTTGTAGGAGAACGGGGGCTTTGGCGATATGGGCAGACTGAATTTTCGCGATCGTCTGGGGATGCCTTAAGCTTTTATAATAAAGGAACTACATAAAAACAAACTCTCGGATGAGACAACTTTCAAAGACCATGCTCTGCTCATTGGTTAGCTTCTATAGTTTGTATGAGATCCTATAAATTAAGTAGAACCTGCTATCCTTTGAGTTGGATCGAGAAGGATGTATAGTACGGATTTCTTCGATATTTCCGGATCTCCAAAGAACCAATCTTTGGATATTTGGTTTGGCAATACTCATTTTGTGCATGCCCCCCCCCCCTCCCGCTTCATTTACCTCTGATGACATCTATGTCCTTCTTGTTGTGAATGGATGTGAGGTGACCACTTCGTTCTGAGCAGAACGCCTCCGAATTCGACCAGTTCCTAAAGAAAAAAATTACAGAGAACGAAATTGCTGTACCAGAAGAAAACTGCCTAGAATTTTAGCCTGAGATCTTTTTCATTCTTCGGTAGATTCTTTAATGCCAATCTATAGTCATTTTCTGAGCAGCACATCCAGTTTCTAAGAGCGTGCTCGAATGGAAAACAGCTTCTATAATGCTGCTCTGGTTAAGGTTTAGTGTTTTGAAAACACGGTGAGGTTAAACATTGGGTCATCACACGATCGTTTCAATTTATCCCATCCTGGTCCCATCGCTGGTCCATCTCTAATGTTGAAAATCTATACTGCTGTTCTAGCACCTCGGGAAATCTATCAGTATACTCGGGTGGTAAAAAGGTAAGAAAAAGGTAACTAACTTTTCCCAGAGCACTAGGTGCTTCCAGAGTCTTGCAAGACCTCAAGGAAATCTTACCTAGGGATGAGAATGAAACAATTACGGTAAAAATGGTAAAGTGGTAACAGCTATATTCATTGAGCACTTGAAGCATGGACCATTGAGTGGAAAAAAACTTATGAAGCATTGAAATTCTTTCTACAGTAGCTGTAAGCAATCAGTACTTTTTGGTTTTCGGAAAACATATCACTGACGTTTTGTAGAGGCCCTTGTGTACGCAGTGACCGCGGCTGTTAACTTGATTACAAGTGATGTCAATAGCTGTGACGGTCGTCAGATAGCCAAGAAACAATAGTAGAGTTCGCTGCATCGCGAAAGAATGGCCCAAAGGGAGAAGGGAATGTACGCTTCCCATCTGTAGTTTAGAAAAGTATTAGAACTGAGAAATTCTTTGTTGCAGAAAAAAACTGATAGAGAGAATGCTCTTTGAAAAAAACAAGACTCATCTACAAATAGGTAGAACCGGAGGGAAACGTGCAACTGAATCATACGATGTTCAATCAACGACAAACGCTGTGCAGTTAAATATTGAACTGTGTTTGCTTTATTTGCAGACGATTAGGGTGATATGTTGGTGTAAGAATTACTTTTCCCTTCCATACGTATAATAAAGCAATATGGAGCGAGCATTAGGATGGTAACTAGTAGTAGTCCGAGTCTATCTTCCAGTGAATAGTGGAGTCGTCTCCAGCTCATTTTGAGAGCAGAAAAGTTCATGAGGAGGTCAGAGTAAGGGGGTGAGCGTGTTCATATAGTTTACTCCTTCTAGAAAGGATCTGCCAAGCGTCAGGAAATTCGAACATTGTTGCATCATATTACCATCTCAGCGTCTCCACGTCGCATTTCGTTATTTTACAGAAATCTCGTAATGAGCGAAGGAAAAGTTGCAACTGAGCTAGGGAAAGGATAAAGTCATTGACATGAACTCATCCCACTTCCGAAATGCGCCCTCACTTTCAACTTCCATTCAGAATTGCACTGGAGTTTTGAGTGCATGTGTGTGCAACATAACGACAGAAAGCGTCCAGCCACGCTTTCACCCCATCCGACGAATTCGGTACCATTCAACTGACCCTGTAGGTGTTCGAGGCTTGGTTGGATTAGCGAGAATCGATCCAGCTTTCGAACCTATGATCACGCGTTTGTGATGAAGGGTCTCTTATACCACTAAACCACTTCAGCCTTCTTAGGGTATGTTCATATATGACCACATACAGGTGGTCATATATGAACATACCCTGAAAAGGTGGAGTCGGTGTGGAGGCATCTTGCTCAATAGAAATGTATATACACCTTTTCCCGATTGGGCATTTTGAATATCAAATATATGGTCGTGATTATAGCTATGACATAATTACAACAAATATGGGGACGTTCACAATGTTGTTATGACATGTACCTTGTTACTGGCTTGGAACCCTAGATTTGGCATGCGTTAATGACACCTGCTGAAACTCTCCATTGGAGCATTAAATAGAGTTGTCTCATGGATGTTTCTGACTTTTCGTCGTACTTCACCCTAAACAAGACAAAACTGTTCTGCCTTACAAAATTCATTATATATTTTCCACTTCGGAGTTTCTAAGTTTCTTAAGTATTGTACCGTACTTTTACCTTTGCCCTCTGTACACTCCTATCAGTTCTACATATTTTATTGAGTGACATCTAGAGATAGTTGTCAAAGAAATAAGTTGTGCGCTCCTACAAATACTAACAAAAAATTAACACATTATCGAACAAAAGCTTTTCCATCCATTTCTATCCTCTAAAAATAATCAATCATCAGCTATCACGTTTTCATTGCAGTCGGCTGAACAAATTGTTGGAATGTTAGCCGTTGTGTATCCAGGTAACGAGACTCTGTCCGAAAATGGCTGTGATGTTCAACAGATGCAGTCGGAGACGGGGAAGAGCTTTAGAACCTCGCTAAGATGGTGTCAAAGAGTGTGTTTCGCTAACCAGCCGTGCTTATTTTCAAAGATGGAACGTGAAAATGGATAGAAGAATGTGTTCGAATTTCTTTCTGACCAGCAGTTGTAATACAAAGCCGAGCTCATTCTAAAGAAATGCTTATAATGATTATGTTTTGTTTCTCATTATTGGCTCTTTGAGTTTCATTGTACACATACATGTTTGTTACTATATTTACCAAACGGTTCTTCTGCATAACAGTCTCCTTGAAGGGTTTTCACTCATTCTTCTCGTCCTTCTCACTTCAATTGCTACCCTTGCCTTGGACTGCCATTTTGTTCTACTTGGCCTTCTAAATTTTTAGAGCTTCTGGAGTACGAAGGAAAAAGTTTTGATGTTAAGAGTGGGTGCGGTTTTCACATGGCGTCGAGCCGCTCGTACGACTCATAGACGACGCGACGCGGGGTAACGAAACTTCTCCCCGATTGCGGCATTCTCCCATGCGGCATGCGGCAAATGTCACTGCAATTACCGTACTCACCCCTCCTCCCGCCAAATAGGAGCGATATTTTTCGTTGATTGCCTTGCTTTTTTATTGGATTTGATCGTTTTTTCTTCTGTTTCTTTTTCATTTTCATGTTTATTAGACTTGATTTATTAAAATGACTCCTCCTATATAAACGA